TAAATAAAAAACAAAGTCCTTATGTGGGTGAAGATCAAATGTTGGTGCAAATATATTCTCCAAGGCTTTGCATGCATTTGATTCTGAAGCAAAACAAAATAAGGGTTAGATAAATAAAATCAATATTTAAATATATGATTTTGTTCTCAAATAAATATTTAAGAAAACAAAATTTAAACCCAAGTAATTTTTTGCTTTTGCAATCCATCTTAGAGAAGTTTTCCAAACGTCTTTATGTTTCAAGCGCTTCATGTTTCGTATATGTTAGATTTTCAATATTCGGCATGCTTTTATAATGGATGTCCCTTAGGTTTCATGTGGATCACTAATGGTAGATTCTTGAGCGTTGATAAATATTAAATGGACGACAAAAATTTGTTTAAGGGCGTTGAATATAGTAAAAAAAACGCTTAACTATCCCCTCAGTCACGAAGAAAATCGAGGTGAATAAGCTGTTTTTTTATAAAATTACATTATTTACACATAATATTAAAAAGACATTGTAAAATCTATTTACCAATGAAAATTTTTATTTTCCATGTCTAAGTCCCATACAAGATGCTAGAGATATGTTTTCCAATGAGAATTTTTATTTTCTATACTTGCAATCCATCCCAGAGATTTGTAGTAACAACTCATGATCAAATGGATGGTGGTGAATATTTCCTCTTTTTAGGGCGGCTACATATAAGTTAGTCTTGAGGTAAAATCTATTTAACGAGTATTTTTAAAGTAAAATATAATTATTAAAAACCTCGTTTTTTTATCTTCTCCTTTTAACTATCACCTCAGTGATGACAAAAACTAAGGTGAATATATATATATTTTTTTTGAAATTATATTGTTTACACAGAATATTAAAATAAATTATTTACAACAAATATTTGCTTTTATTACTAAATATCTTCCTTGATATCTAGATTTAGTTGCATTCCCTTCTTTGTTCAAAGGTTAAACTCCATTCTTTGTTGGTTAAACTCCATTCTTTGTGTAACTTGAAGCAAGAATGATTTTCTGCACTTGTAATCTGTCAACTGAGTACTCTTCAAATGTTGAACTCCCTTCTTTAACTGAGGGTTATTCCAAAAATACAATAATGACAGCGTCAATACCATTATGTGAGATAGATTGCAAGAGCCGAAAAAATATTTTGTTCAAAATAGGAGAACATTGAAGATTTTTTCTGTCTTACAATCCATCCCAAAGAATGATGCTTGCGAGTTTGGGGCGGCTTCATATTAGTAAGGATTAGGGTAAAATCTGTTTAACGAATGCTTTTATAGTAAAATCTTATTATTTTATGCTTCGGTTAAATACAAAACTAAAGGGTTAGAATATTTTATTTACACTTATAAACAAATAAAATCATAAACTGCGATAGCTGGGAATCGAAGCTTATACTGAGTTGTTTTTTCACCTCGGTGTTATGAAAAACCGAGGGAATTTATGGTTTTCTTATTTTTTTAGATAATAAAAAATAGCGCACTTTGGCTTTATACCTCGATTTTCTATTGTTCGAGGTGAAAGTTTCGTCATGAAAAACAAATAAATTATTTGTTGTAGTGATGTTGAAGGTTGTTTCTACCATTAACTCCAACTTAGCCATAATGGTGAAGTTTTTGAATATAGGCATAGTCCCCTATGGGGATGCAAGATTTCACTTCCCTGGAAGATTGGAACCCTCGTGATATAAATATATCTGCGAGTTTGAAGGAGGAAAGAGAAGATGAATCATTGCCCTGAGATACTCTTTCAAAGGTAGGCCCTAATGGCTTGGGTTTCTTAGAAGGGTTTTCCTCCATATATTGACCTTTACCAAGGTCACTCTTAGTGGTCTTACTAGCAACAATTATGGATCAGTTGTTAGACTTCTTGCTCTGGCATTCAAATGATAGAAGCCTTAGCTCCACCGTATTTTCTCGCATGAACTTGATTGTTTATGTCTTCCCATTAAACAAAGTCTCATTCTCTATTAGGGCCTCATTTGTTCCCATTTTAACCAGGACCGTAGTAGGAGTCAGAGAAGGATACAAAGCAACATCCTTGACCAGGTGGGCCTTCTTCCTCTTGAAGATGTTCCCAAGCACATCTATGTTATCTTTAAAATGAAAAAAAATAAGATTGTCAATAGAATTTTTTTGTGAATAATAAAGGTAAATATAAAGATAGTTCCCTATCCTCACCGAAAAAAGTCTTTTCTCTCAAGAGCATTATTCGCTTCCATAACTGAACATGTGTTAATCTATCACTTTTTCTGCTGTGGAGGCAGTATGTCTGAAGGGTTGGCTCTTTCTTTATAACCTAAACTTTCATAGAAGAAGACTAAGTCATCTTTCAAAGACTTTTATCTAGGGTCAAAAAGTCCGAGGTAAAGTTATATGTTTTTGGAGCATGGAAAAAATGGTGTTGGACCTAACATTTATAAATCATGTTTTAAAACTTCACTGGCTTCAAACAAAGAAGGCCAGAGAGGGGAAAGCTTCCCTTTAGATGGATGCAAAAGGAAGAATGACCCTCTGTACTCTGAGGGGTCACCAAAAATTAATGGTTCTTGAAGTTTTTTTAATTCTCAAGGTAAACATCAAACATCTTAAACGATTGGCAAACCGAGAGCAACCCTTGTCCCTGTTCTCCGTTGGATAACATGCATGTCACATTGAACAGATGGAAGAATAAATTCAAGATTGACAGCTTTCCCCGATACTCACATCAGTAGTGAAACACTTTGACAAAGGCACAAGTTATTAGGTGTAGTTAAGAGGAATGGATTCTCAAGTTGTTTAATAACTTCTCCTTGAAGTTGTTAAAGGGAAACTTTAATCTTAACTTGGAAAATAAACATTTGTAAAAAGTTAAAGAACACCCATCAAATTAGCTACATATATTTTTTTTGGGGACGACATGAGATAGACCGATCAGAGGACATTCACACATCTCTGTAAGCCTCTTCCAAATTCTAAGTGTTACCGAAGAAGGAAATTGTTCCCACTAACTCCACCTCCACCCAGTGATACTGAGTAATATTAGTAGGCATGACATTACCTTTATGATACTTTTGAACCATGTCTTCCCAAATTCCAAGAAAAAGATAATACTTGCCATGAATCAGGGAATGGTTTCAAAATTTGAGGTGATTCCTAACCTTTTTAGTACTAGGTTCATGGCCATTTATATGCAAATGAATTAAGAAAGAGGTGAGTTATTGATACAACCTGGAGAGCCTCAATAAGCTAAAGAGAAAAAGGGCTAGTATCCCTAGTGACAGAACCAACACAACCTCTGTCATTATGAGAATTTGGGGGTTACTGCCATCTTAGATAGAACCCCTCACCAAAGTCAGAATTCTCACTAAGAGCAATAAGGTTTATAATGAATTGATTAACTTCTAAAGGTGTGACATTTGACATTTATGGATTTACTATTTCAGTGCAAGATGAAACATCACTCGCATCACTAAAAATGTAGAATATTTTTTGGATCGTCTCCCATATTATCCATGATTAAAACAAGGAAGGGAAAAGTAACAAGTGGTACAAGGAGAGAAATGCTATTTGAAAAATTTGAATCTTGAGGAAACAATTAAAGCAAATGATATTTTTGAGGGTGCGATGAATCGAGAAAATATAAGACCAGGGATGAAAAGAAAGACATATATAACAAGAATCACTAGAGCTCAAGGGAAAGCAATCAAGGTTCATAGAAGAAAAAATGACTTATAATTTGCGCAAAGAGTGCAAACGTGGCTAGGAAGATGAAGTAACCTATATATATCGAGGCGAAGTAAGTGAACCAGTGGTCCCAAATAAAAGAAAACAAGAAATAGAAGACACCAATTAAATTTGCCTCGATATTATAACGACACTTGAGACACGTGAGCACCATAATGGGAAGCGCCACACCCTATTGTAAGGAACTAAGGCCACATGTAAGAGTGATCCTGCAAGATGTTTTAAAAATGAGACTAGCATTTAATAGTTATTTTTCTAAGGTCACTCACAACGACCCCGCAATCTTTCACACTTCTCTAAGAAATGGGTCTGACACGTTAAGCCAGACCCAATTTTCTCAAAGACTTCCCATTGCTGACCACGACAAGTCTTATGCATAACTATTTTTAGGCAACCACTGACCTAAAATGAGGAGACCTAATCACCAATCACTCCACTAAAGCATCAAAGGCACATGGTAACATTGCTTTGGAGTTCCACAATAGATCCACGCCAAGGGTCGTGACCTACCGTTAAATGTCATCAAATAACCTTTTGCATTCCATACCGAAATAACAAGGAACGTCCAGAACCACCATTCACATATAAAACATCCCTCGTGAAACTTGAGGTATTTTCTCTAATTCATAAGTCACTTTACTCCTCATTCTATTATTAACTTACACATTAAATTACCAATCTTACACGTCCGCTCCACTTCATCGTGAGTGATTAACTCCACCGTATAAGAACTTATTCGCATAACATTATTATTATTATTATTATTATTATTATTATTATTATTATTATTATTATTATTATTATTATTTTGTTTTTTTCTCTTACATAGGGCTAAGTATTTAGCAAGAATATAAAGGAAAAATAATGGGCTAATTTTCCTCGTAAAATTTAACAGCGCCTCATAAATCGAGCAACCACTGGCATTTGCATTTCAATTTCCATTACCAATACACCAAATCCTCATTTTCTCCACAAATATATATATTCATTCATTCACACACGCAGTCGCTCTCGCTCGCTCGCACACACCTCCAAATCTCATCGTCTTCGTTCTCCTCTCGTCATCCACCAAAAACCCTTACATCACACAATTACTGAACCTTCTCGATCGTCTCCGTCTCCACCAATCCTTCCGTCACTTTCAATCACCATTCCGATCTGCTTCATCTTCGCGGTTTCAATTTATTAATTTCTTATACTTATTTACTTTCCTATCTATTGATATCGAATTTCGCAAGAGTCCGTTTCAATTGATATGAAACAACACACACTATGAAAATGCCACAATTCACTCCTGCCGCATCTTCACTTTCTGTTAACGAATTCTGGTCTAACAATTGTGGCGACGTTAGCTACAATCAGCTTCAGAAGGTATTCAGTTCTATTATATATTTTTTTAATTTTTAATTTTATTTTTAATTTTACAAATATGTATTTATTTCATTTTAGCTTAAGATTGCTGCTAGATCACTGTTTTGTAAATTTGTATTGATTATTGTGTAAATGGTGATAGTGATGATTTGTCTGCGTTTGTATTGGATCCTACAGTTGAACCAATTTTCCGATTTTTTTCTGAGGGTTTTTGTGTAGCATTCATATACGCAATGTGTATGTTTATATTGATTAATGTCATTCAGTTTAATTTTCATACCAGTGTCTGTTACAGGCTATGGAGTAAAAAATCCTGGTGTTGCACATGTACTTATCTAGTAGCATTTTGTATTTAGATTTATGCGGAGCCATATTTACAGTTTTTGTTAATGTCTTCGTCCTGTCAGGGTTGATATTAATGATACTGTCAGCTGAGTAATTGATTTATCTACAGTTAAGTAAACAATCTTCAGACTGATTGTGCTGTTTCAGCACTGGACATGTGTTAGTGTTGAATACATTGGATAGCCCAATGTTGTCAATTGCGAACTGTGAATTGTTTAAATTTTGCTATGCAATAGTGGTATAGCGACGCGATAGCGGTTATTTTACAACATTTTATACCAAATAGATTATTGCATAACAGTAGCTGTTAGTCTGAATTCCGCCACACTATAGCGGTATAGCGCCACTATATTAGCTATTTAACAACATTGATAGCCTGACTTGTATTTTTGAAGTTACCATTTTATAAATTTAGATACCAATGGAGAATTGATACTAAATAATAATGAATTATTTTTGACCGGGTCATGTTGTATATATTACATGCTCTTTTGATCAAATTGCTACTTCTGATATATTTATCTGGTCACTTATTCGATGTTGTATGTTATTTTGATACAGTTTTGGATTGAATTGTCACTACAAGCTCGACAAGAACTCCTTAGGATTGACAAGCAATCCCTTTTTGAGCATGCTCGTAAAAATATGTACTGCTCCAGATGCAATGGATTGCTTCTTGAAGGATTTTTGCAAATTGTTATGTATGGGAAATCTTTGCCGCAAGAAGGGGTGGGTGCTCAATTTCCTTGTAACAAACTCGGAGCTTTGAAGAAGCAAACTAATGGTGGATCAAGCTTTATAACTGGGTGCCAAGATGAAATTCCAGATCCATCTATGCATCCTTGGGGAGGCCTGACCACAACGCGTGAGGGCTCGTTAACACTTATGACCTGTTATTTGTATTCAAAGTCTCTAAAAGGATTGCAAACTGTAAGTGAAGCACATTACATTGGATCCTCACACAATTTTTTTTCCATCTTTGGTGGCTAAACACTTGCTCTTGTTAGGTCTTTGATGGTGCACGTGCTAGGGAGCGGGAAAGAGAACTGCTTTATCCCGATGCCTGTGGTGGGGCAGGCCGAGGTTGGATTAGCCAAGGCCTAGTGAGTTATGGCAGAGGACACGGAACAAGAGAAACATGCGCCTTGCACACTGCCAGACTTTCATGTGATACACTGGTAGACTTTTGGTCAGCGCTTGGAGAGGAGACTCGATTTTCTCTTCTAAGGATGAAGGAAGAAGATTTTATGGAGAGACTTATGTTCAGGTGTCTATTTGTATATTTCTTACACTGTATTATGCATTAGACAAGTGAAGACTGTTATGGTGGGATAAAAACACAGATTCTGATACTTGAATAGAATAGGTCATGCAGTTGAACCTGATATACAAAGAATGAGAATCTGTCACCTGTTCCTGAAACGTTTTAAATTTTCTGAATATCATGATTGGGATCTGATTTATCTATTTTATGTCCCAAAAGTGTCGGACAGAAAATTGAGAAAATTATTTTGGGTGCTGGTTTTTTTTACCATCCATATGCAAGTGATCTGTAATCAACTATCTGCTGAATTCTAGGATAATGTGGCGGCTGGTTTGGGTTTGATGCTAAATGATAAACTGGGAACTCTATCATAGGCATTGAACTGAAAAATTGTTCAGCAACATTATCTCGAAACAGTGTAAATGTAGAGTAATATGGCTGGGAAAGTTTATATTTACACAATTCTGTCCGATGTATAGGAAATGTTTCACTGGTCTTGGATACTTAAGTTAACAAATTAAAACAATACCTCGGATAGACTGTAGGGGGGAGATGCTTATTAAGTCTGCCAGTGATCTGACATAGGTCTGGATCTACTCTATCACATTAGTTGCCTGGACTCATCTAATGATAGCCGTCTTGATTTTTGCCTAGGATTGATAGATTGGATAATGCATTATAAGAAAAATATTACCCAAATGAATGATTCAGACTGTGATAGGACAGTCTTCACTTATGGCAGTGCAGATGGGGAACATGTGGGTTGGATATATGAGCACTTTAAACTTTAGGTAAGATAATATGATTTTGTTGGAGAGAGTTACATATTTAATGAACTTTGTTGACTGTAAACATGTACAAACACATAAAAGAGGACTATGCTATCCAAGAGTTGTTGTCGTGCAGTTTTTAGAAGATAAATTAGCAGATAAGCTACTGTCGCTATTGAGATGCAGTTGGTAATTAATTTTGTGAGGATTTTAGAACATCAAAGAAACAAAGCAATGCTTTTATGTTCTGTCCTGTTTAACTTGAGATTTCCTATATTGTCTCTGGCGCTGCTTTCTGCCCGTAGCACAGAGTGGTTCTTCATGTCATTAGAGAAATGGATTCATTTTGATTCTTTAGCCAACTACTTTCCAGCATTTTGCTTTATTTCTCATTCAATTATATAAAGGCAGCGCTGCTCCTTTATGCCAAGCTTGATTTAATTTATTTTCTCATCCATTGAAACTTGATTTAAGCATGTTTTACGCTTTCATCTTTACTAATAATTTACTATATATCTATCAGGTTTGATAGCAAGAGATTTTGCCGAGATTGTAGAAGAAATGTTATTAGAGAATTCAAGGAACTAAAGGAACTGAAACGCATGCGCAGAGAACCTCGCTGCAGCAGCTGGTTTTGTGTTGCCGACTCGGCTTTTCAGTATGAGGTTTGACTTTCATATTTTTATGCTGCTTTATATCCTGTAAAATCAGTTTTAGTTGAGATTTTAGGCTAAGAGTCTACAAATTATCATTCTTATGAAAATAGTTTTTTTAGTCAAACTACCATCGACAACTTGAGTATATATTCTACCTAACATCACCATTCATCAATTTTCTTTTATCAGGTATCTGACGACTCGGTTCAAGCTGATTGGCGTCAGACATTTCCAGATACTTTGGGAACCTACCATCATTTTGAGTGGGCTGTGGGCACAAGTGAAGGAAAATCTGACATTTTGGAATTTAAAAGTGTTGGATTGAACGGATGTGCCAAAGCCAGTAGCCTTGATCTTGGTGGTTTGAGTGCATGTTTCATCACTCTCCGAGCTTGGAGATTAGATGGACGCTGTTCTGAACTTTGTGTTAAGGCTCACTCATTGAAAGGTCAGCAGTGTGTACATTGCAGACTAATTGTAGGAGATGGTTATGTCACAATTACGAAAGGGGAAGGTATCCGAAGATTCTTTGAGCATGCTGAAGAGGCGGAAGAGGAAGAGGTAATACAGGTTTCAGTAAGGAAATAAACTTCCTTGCTTATTATCCCTGATTAGTGTAATTTTGATAAGCAATTCACGAAGAATTTGTCAGACAAAGTTTCACATGTTATTATATAATATAATATATGGCTTCTAGGATGATGATTCAGTTGATAAGGATGGAAATGATCTTGATGGAGAATGCTCTCGTCCCCAAAAGCACGCAAAAAGCCCTGAACTGGCTCGAGAATTTCTGCTAGATGCGGCTACTGTTATTTTTAAAGAGCAGGTGTGTTTAGCATCAATTTAACTTTCTCGTGGCTCTCTGTCATTCTGTCTTGATCAGTCACTGATTGTTATCTTTTCAGGTTGAGAAAGCTTTCAGAGAAGGAACAGCCCGCCAAAATGCACACAGCATATTTGTCTGTCTTGCACTAAAATTGCTCGAGGAACGAGTGCATGTAGCATGCAAAGAAATCATTACATTAGAAAAGCAGGTCTTAGTTATTATGATTTTGAAAAGAACTTTTGGGGATTAATTAAAAAACTCCTGTTTATATGTTGAATTACACTTACTAAATCCTACTTATATGGTTGTCTGCAGATGAAACTTCTTGAAGAAGAAGAAAAAGAAAAACGCGAAGAAGAAGAACGTAAAGAGAGGAGAAGAATAAAGGAAAGGGAGAAAAAACTTCGGAGGAAGGAAAGACTAAAAGGAAAGGAAAAAGATAGAGAAAAAACATGTTCTGAATCAACTGATATTATTGGTTCTTCAGAAATCTCAAAAGAAGAATTTGCTGCAGGTTCTGATATGGATAAAAATAATCTTACTAGTGGCAGGAATTCAGTTGTTGAAACAGATGAAGTCAATCATAGTGACGATTCTTCTAACATCCAAGATAAAGAACTCTCCAGTGAGAATGATACTTTGAGAACACAACATCTCTCGGATGATGATTGTGATGAAGAAAATTCCAATACAAACGACGAGACAGGTCAGCAGTCTACGGTTGAACAAACAATGCTTTCTCATCAAAGACTGAGATACAGGAAAGAATTTCCACAGGATGATATGCCTATCAAGTGGTCTGGCAGACGCCAGTATGCCACTGTTTCTGACAATGGTGGGATGGTTGGTAAAACTGAATCAAGACATTATGGAGAGAGTCAGTTGACTTCATCGAGGGTAGTTAATGGATTGAATAGGCAATCCAGGATAAATGTTCCTGCAAAGTCCAATGGTCGAAATGTTAGTCCGAAGTATGGCGATAAATTTTACAATTCCAAGAACCGGATGAATGACAGATGTGATATTCATTCTTGCAGCTGTAGTCCAAATAGTGAATATAAGATGAGAGTTGAGCAACATTCGCCTGTGACAAGAGTTAGTCGGGAGTCAAAACCTGCCAGTCAATATGAATCTGCTAAGCACTTTTATCGAGGTAGTAAGTATAATCAAGTAGACTATATGCATGAGAATAATGGAAGAAACAAAAGCAAAATCATTTTGGGGAATTATTCCAGCAGGGATTTGTTTCAATCAAAAAAGGTTTGGGAGCCTACGGAGTCTCTGAAGAAATTTCACCATAGTAATTCAGACTCTGGTGTTATTTTGAGGTCCACTGAAGTTCAAGAAGCTCAGCCTGATCTTATCAAGTCATCTATTGGGGAAATTGTTGATTCCGGTGAAAATGATTATAATGACTGTAGTTCAAAGCATTTAAGTAGAACGGATGCAGGCTGTCAAAATAATTTTCAGGTTGAAGGTGAAGGTTCTTGTAGCTCTAAGGAAATTGTTTCCGAGGAATCTGGAATATGCGCAACTGGAGGCTCTGTCTTGAACAATTCGTCTGATCCTACCCAAAGTAGCACTTTTAGTTCTGACAGCTGCTCATCATGTCTAAGTGAGGGTGACAATAATATGTCATCAAACCGTGTAAATCAAGAATCCTCAACCACATCAGATTCTGAAGATGTTAGCCAACGATCTGAAGTTAGAGATAATGCAGCTTGTCTGGAAAACGTGCTGTCTGATTGTCATGAAACTGCCATGGAGAATAACCAGACCACAAATGGTGAGAGTCTGTCCAGAAGTTCAAATTCACTTATTGGCCCATCCTTGGATGGAAGAAGAAGTGATGCATTTGATGAGAGTTTTGTGGAAATTGCCCAAAGTTTTGATAATGGGGTTTCCACAACTAATGTGAGTACTCAGCCTCAAAGCATGCTTCCCCCGGCGTCAAATCAAAATATTCAATTTCCGTCATTTCAAGCTCCTTCAACAATGAGTTATTTCCATCAAAATCCAGTTTCATGGCCAGCAGCTCCAACAAATGGTTTGATGCCATTCCCATACCCAAGTCATTACTTGTTTGCTGGCCCTCTTGGATATGGCTTAAATGAAGACCCACGGTTTTGTTTGCAGTATGGTTCCTTGCAGCAACAAACCCCCTCGTTTAACCCTGCTATTCCAGTTTATCAGCCAGTTGCCAGAGCTAATGTCTTAAATTCAGAGGAATGGACACGCGTTTCCAAGCCAGCTTCCTTGCAGGAGCATATTAACGGATCTGTTGCAGAAAGGATTGTTTCATCTGGAAACAATTTGAAAAAACCAGCATTCATTGGAGAAGTTAAACATGACCGTTCTGCCAAGTCACAAGAGAATAACGGCGACTTTTCCTTGTTTCATTTTGGCGGGCCTGTTGCCCTCTCAACAGGTTGTAAATTGACTCATGCATCTTCAAATGGCGATGCTGTTGGTGATTTTAGCCCCAAAAGTTCAGCGGATCATGCCGAAAAGGTCCATACTTGCAATAAGAAAGAGACCACCACCATGGAGGAATACAGTTTGTTTGCTGCAAGTAATAACTTAAGGTTTTCAATTTTTTAAAATGATAAAGTGAGAAGTAGAAGGTGGCTGTTGCTGAATCCAGTCCCTAACTTCATATATGATAAATTGAGGTTTGAATACTCAGTAATTCGGTAAACAATAAGCTTCTTTTAGCAATTTTCAACTTTAGCATATTGCTTTATTAGTTAATTGTTGCCCAATTTGTGCCGAATTTTTTCTTCTTTGTAGAGAAAGATTGAGAGTGTTGGTATTTTGAAGGAGTTTTTCTTTACTATGTGTGAAAGATATAATTACCCCAAAGTTTCAGTGAACCATTTGCTTACTTTGCACTTTTTGTTTTGTTGAAACAAAAATCAGTTTTCATAGTGAAAGTCGAAACAAAGCAGTTTTCATAGTGAAAGCAAAGCTTTGCTGGAGTTTTTGAGCGGATGTTATCATTATGCTTGAAGTGATTTATTAACCTAGGTTAATGTTTTTTCTTCCGTGGAATAGTGTTCCAGCAACTGAATTCAAACTTAGATTACTGGAATTGATAGGGTGCTATTCAAATGTAAAGTAAATTATTTAATTTGAATAGCACCCAAGAATTTCTTTCATGTGTATTTTTCTCCAAGCGCGCGAGTGCTCACAATCTTTGGGCCATCTACTTGGACCAATCAAATAACTTATTGGTCCTTATGGAATTGCTCAATAGTTTTATGGAAGGGTGATGTTGACTACACTCAGTGATCCATCTTATGGAAATTTTAAAATGCACTCTGTGATCTCATCGTCTAAATTTCAAAATTCGGATATGTCTAACATATACAAAATCACTTCATTAGAGTGGTATCCTCATTTTTGTTATAAATAAAGTTTGGAAATTAATCTCCAGACTGGATTACAAGATCTGAATATCTAAGCGTGAAAACAAATTTGGCTTTTACCTTGCATGTATTTTGGCATCAAAAGAAGCAAAGGAAGTTGTAATTTCAAGTAATGTATGTGTATTTCATTGATCATTATTGCTTGAGATAAACTGGTTTAATTTACGTTGTGTCAGGATTTTGAAATCTAGATTCGGTTACAATATGTTCGGAAATTAAAATATGGATGTTATGATGATGAATTTTAATTGTCATATGTTATGATTGATTGTAGTTATGATGCACCTTGACTGAGGTTATTGTATCTATGGATGTTAAACTGAATGATGTCCATGTAGACGTTAGAAAACACTTTACAAATAAATTAGAGTTTGCTATACGTGAACACCGTTAGGAGCCTATGATCTGACTTACTTAAAGCCTACGATAATGCCCTTGCAAAATCATTCATGCATTTTTTGAAATTTACAGTATTCATGCAAGAATTTGAAATTTGTGGTGCCATACCGAAAATTTAGAGCAACATATCGGAAATTTCAAAAATAGTGAACTTTGATATCGGACATTATAGAATTTACGTATTTTGTAATATCGAAAATTTTAAAATTTCTGGTGCTGATATTAAAATTTTTATCGGAAATTTCAAAATTTCTGGTGTAGAATTCCATAGAATATATCAGAAATTTTAGAATTTCAAGTAGTTATAAAAAACTAATTTTATACTGGAAATTCTGAAATTTCTGATAGTTGCTAATATTTTTTAAAAAAATTTTCTTTCATTTATAGTGAAATATAGAGGTAGAGACGACACTATTGAAGGGAGCCGTTGATCGAGCGACAAAACAAGCTAGAGCTGTCAGCTTTGTCGATGCTAAGTCTTTCCAGATACGGAGTGGACGAGTGGCCCTAAGCGGTTCACACTAGAAGCGGTTGGCTGAGTAGGGTCAGTTCTGGGCACCTCGTAGCACTCTATGTTGACCAGTATGATCAGTAAAGCAACCTAGAGATGAGGTGGAAAATGAGGTGGTGCAGCCAAATGTTGTCGTTGCTAATCCGGTGGTTAATCCAATGGTTGAGGAAGTTACGGATCCGATTGTTAATTCGGTTGGTATGGATGAGGTTGCTCGGGTGGTCCAGCCGGATGGTGTTACTGATTCGGTCCATATGTTACTGCTGACACGGAGGTTACAACTCCTTCGACGGAGCCCTTAGTGCACATTGATGGAGGATTCCCTGGAGGATCCATTAACTGGTAAGTGCTTACTGAGTATGTTAACCATGTGGCGTTACAACTATGGCAGAGAGAGGTATATGTCTTTTATGTTTAACTCTAATTTGTTTATTATTATGCCATGAAAGCTATAAGCTAATTTGTTTATATTTGTTTGTCACATGAGCGTCCTACATTGAAGGTGACGTTGCACGGGTCGAAAATGAAGGACTTCCCGAAGATTTTGATGGGATTGTACAGGAGTTCCAACAGCTTGTTTTTATCCAATGCTCCTTCAACATGCTCGTCGCACCACTACTTATTGCGTTTGTTGAGAGGTGGCACAAGAAAACATCTTCATTTCATCTTCCGTTTAGAGAGATGACTATCACTCAAGATGATGTCTCTTCATTGTTCCATCTTTCCATTAAAGGCAGATTCAAGACAACTCCCATTCTTAGCATTTCCCTTGAATGTCAGACTGCTGCACGAGATTTGGAAGTGTTTGAGGCGGAGGTGCAAAAGAAGTTTGGCATTAACAAGAGCGCACACCTTCGTATGTCTTAGCTTCAAAAGACATGTGATCAACTTGTAGCTGCTGTCGTACCTCGAAAAATACGATCCTCGCGATGGACGCGGAAAATACGTTCGAAACAGAGTCACCACCGAACTTTATTCATTCCAAGGATGGAATAGGAAAATATCGATAAAACCTTTAAGGAGATAAGAACATGGTCATCGCAACCAATATTCTAGGTTCGGGAGTCGATTACATGAGGGGAAGGTATTAGCACCCCTCATGTCTGTTGTACTCAACGGGAACCTCTTGATCGATTTGAGAGTAAAGTTAGTTACGCTTGTTTGTTTTCTTCTAAGGTTTCTCCTATAGGGGGAATGTGTGTTTTTAAGATAGGGTGCTCGCCAAGGATTAAGGCCCTTGTGCCTACGTATCTTCACTTGTAAGAAGTGGAAAATCAGAGCATTCGTAGTTCGGGGGACTACGGGAAAAGAGGGGATTGTGCTCGCCAAGATCATCGCAATCTTGTGTCTACGTATCTTACATTCAAGAGGGAATGAAGAATCAGAGCAGCCGTAGTTCGGCTAACTACGGTAAAAGGTTTGGAAAATGAACGAGTGTTTAGGTCGCATTCTAACTGCTAAACTTTGGCTTGTCTGCTCGCTAAGGGAGGCTGAAGCTCGAGTTTGTTATGCGCGGAAGAATGGGATAAACAATGTTCTTGACAAAAGGTGTTTTGGTTGGAAATCGCACGAGGGCGAGGAATTAGGTTTATCGCATTGGATGTTTTGGTCAGAGGATATATTTGAATAGGTTTGTGGTTTCGATCGCACGAGGACGAGAGAGAGGAGTTTGGTTAGGTAATTTGATGGAGAATGACGAGTATTCGATAAACGAGACGTCAGTCTCACAATCAATTAATCGGGGCATTATTGGAATGCTAGATTCCAACAACACCTTTTTCATTCAACTAATTATGAAATTATATTTGAATGGACAATGACGATATTTGTCCAAATAGTTAGGGCATATATTTTATAGACGAAAGGTCGAGTAATCCACAACCTAAAGCGTACGCCCCAAGAGTGGTCACTCAAGAATTCAAGGAGTGCGAGACTCTAAGAACTCCATTCTTTCGCAATTTAGTTAAGAAAATAGTTTGGACTTGACGTATGATTTAGCAACATACTAGGGTTTAGACTCGATCGCACGAAGGTGAGGAACGAGGTTAGACGAGTTAAATGTTAGGAGGAATGACGACTGCTCGATAAACGAGACGTCGACCTTGCAATCAATTAATCGGGATATTATTGGAATGCGAGATCCCAACAACACCTTTTTCATTCAATTAAATATGAAAGTGTATTTGAATGGACAATAACGATGTTTGTCCAAATAATTAGGGCGCGTGTTTTATAGACGAAAGGTCGAGCAACCCACAACCTAAAGCGTACGCCCCAAGAGCGGTTACTCAAGAATTCAAGGAGTGCGAGACTCCAAGAACTCAGATCTTTCGCAATTTAATCAAGAAAATAGTTTGGATTCGACATATGGTTTAGAAACATACGAGGGTTTATACTCGATCACACGGAGGTGGGGAACGAGGTTAGATGGGTTGAAAATGTGGGAAGAATGACGACTATTCGATAAATAAGACGTCAGTCTCGTAACCAATTAGTCGGGATATCATTGGAATGCTAGATCCCAACGACATCTTTTCATTCTCTTAATTACAAAATATATTTGTTGGATAGTAAATACTTGTCCAAATAATTAGAGATGTTTTAAGAACGAAAGTTCGAATGATGCGCTATTCGAGGCGTATGCCTCAATAGTTGTCACTCTCGAATTCAAAGAATGCGCGACTCCAAGAATTTGATGCTTTCGTAATTTAATTTAAGAAAATAATTTGGATTGGTTTGCGCAGCTGGGTTAAACTATGGTAGACATATTGTTCGAATTATGATTCACCTACTTTGAAAGGTTTAAACAAGGTTAGGTAGTTTTAGCGATGAAAGATGAAATGACCACAACTCAAGGCGTACACCTCGAGAGCGGTCGCTTAAGGATCCGAGGAGTGCTAGACTCCAAAGACCCACTACTTCCATATAAATTAAAAAAAAGAAGATTTTTATTTATTCTAAACAAATAAAAGATTTTGAATTTAATAATAGGAAGATAAGAAACAAGTTTGATAAATTAAATAGAATTTAAATAAATCAAATTGTAGAACAAATATTAATAGTCACAATTTAAACATAACACTAATAATATTATTAATAATTACTAATAATATTTTAAACTATATTTAATTAGTTTCTAAGATAGGACCTTATTAAATTTTAATTAAACTAATAACATTGACCCTATAGGCCCAATGACCTCATACTATCTCAAAAATCTCTTCTCCTTCTAATAAAAGAAAAGAAATGAAATGGGCTTAGGG